AAGAATAAAAAAATAAAATAAAATAAAAAATAAAACCTAAAAAAATTTTTTTTTGTCTCCCTACGCTGTTTATTTACTAACATAAAGCAATGAATATTCATCAAAAGGATCTTCCAACAATGAACAAATTGAGGGTTTTACATGGTGTGTGGGCAAGACATGGTATTTGGATAAAAGAAACACAATTTTCGCTATGAAAAATTTCAATATACAAAACAATAGTACAGTGAATAGTCATATGCTCACCACCCATATCCAACAATTAACATTATTTATTTCTCTATCTATCTATCTAACTGTGTTTTTTGCTGGACCATTTTAAAATAAAATGATAGACACTTTACCCCAAAATATTTCAGCATAAAGACATCTTTCTATATAATCACAAAACCATTATGTCTGACAACTAAATAATTCTCAAATATCATCTAAGATCCAGTTTATGTTAAAATTTCTCCAATTATCCCAAAGTTGTCTTTTATAACTGGTTTGTTCAAACCAGGATCCAATTAAGGGTCACACACTGCATCTGATTGGGTTTCCTAGGGTGAAAAGTACTATGTCCTAATAACCAATACCTTGATGAGGAGTAAGATCAGGGATAAGGAAAAGATTCCTCTAAGATCTTGACAGATAGAAATACACACACTATGTCAAAGGGCAATTCAAGTCTTAATTCATGTTTGAGAATAATAGTCAAACATGAAGTTCGTGACTGACAAAACACAGCTGTCATTATTTACATCGTTGGTGTGTTCCTACTCAGTTAATATGCTGGGCACAAGTTCGTGGTCAGTAACACCATGTTCTGTCTGCAAGAAGAAACTCTTTGTATGACATCACTGTTTGGCAGTGAGCTGTTAGGCATGTTTAAATTCTGAGAACTGCAGTGCTGAACACCAGATGGCCCAAAGCCTCCATTCAACTCATTGGCAGTCTGTATTGCTAAGTGGTATCCAGTTCTTTTGAATGTTTAAATGTCATGACTCCGGAGAAGGATGAATATGACCTAATTAAGCTGCTGGGACACACACATGCCCCACCCCCCCAAGAAAAATGAGTTAACAAATCTGTTGGAGTTGGTTAACAGGAAGTCAAACAGTGAGCACTGCCAGGTCTGAAACATGAACTGATATGATGAAAATACATTCAGAACAGAGTGACAGACAAGAAAGCTACCAGCATACAGCATAATTTCCCAACATCCTAGAGTATTTACAACTCAAACAGAGCTTGTCACAGATCCTTGAACTAGATAATACAGTTCAAATAAATCCTACAAAGCCAATGGGAGCATACATACAGGGGCAGATGCAAACCTAAACCAACTGCATAAAATTCTGTATATACCCCTGATGAGTTTGTGGACTCATTTTTGGATGTGAGAGGGGCCCAGCTGAGATCTGGCCTACTTACAATCTCCAAGGCTGACACAGACTCACCCAGGACTGCCCAACATCTCGAAGAATGTGAGCATCTCTGCTCTTGTAAGAATTATCGCAGTAACACTGAAATCACTCTCAATGATCACTATGGATGAAGTACGTAAAAAGGGAAAACCACTTAGCTTTCACTACAACTTCTGAAGAGGGCATCATGACTATCAGCTCTCAAAGGATAAAACTAAACCTGAAACACAGATGCTGGGGCCAAGCAGAGGGATGACCCACTGAGAGATTTTAGAACATGCCAATATAACACAATCTTCAGGAAAGTGAGAAGCTTGATTATACTATTATCATAGCATGGACTCCCTCCCTTTCTCATAGGGAGGCCTGGTCTGATTTTTCCTGGTCTTCTGTGAAATGGCCTGGTCTACTGCACAATCCTCGAATCGGGGAAGAAGGGTCTCAGGCAATGCCACTTCTAGGGGCCAACCAAAGCACATATTAGCCCCCAAATTTAAGGAATAAATCAACTCCCTTCTTAGCCAAGGCAGTACATGTCCTGCAGCTACCACTGTCACATCCCTCTGCCAAGGATCCCAGAAGTGATGGTGGCGGGAAGGAATATGGAGCCATTCCTTCAAGTCTGAGGTGGCAAATGTGCCCTGCAAAGAAGACAGAATGGTTAAGTCCCTGGGGGGCAGAAGAAGAAGAGGAGAAAGGGAAAGTGCGTGAGGACGGCAGGACCTGTGGCACTGGGAAGCTACAGGCAGTGCAGGGCACACTGCACGGAGTTCCTGGGGGGGTCCTCTAAACCCCCATCGGCTCCAGTTGCTTCTGCCCTGGCTTGGGACACCACAAAACTGCAGCAGTTGTCAAGTCATAGGCTTTCCTCTGTACCTCCTTCTTCCTGTGCCCCTCGATCTTTTCTCCCAACATCCCCACCACTTCCTCTCCTTTCTTCACCGTACAAGCCCATTTCTTCCACCAAATTCTAGGATCATATAAATATATATGTGTATCACATGATTAAAAAACCTGACAACACAAACATAGGTAATAAATAGCATTACTTACCACCTCCCAGGATTTAATTAATGGTACCCTATTTAATCAAAAGGAAAAACTCTTCTTTAATTCCCCAATTTATGTTATTAACAATTCAGTATTCATGAGGTGATGATATGATCAACTTACCCAAGGGATTGGCGCCAATAAATACATTTGCAAAGTTCATTTTCGGCATCTGGGTCAAAGACTGAATGTAGTTTCTTGCCTGTAAAAATAAAAGGTTTTCAAAATGGCTTTGTTCAATAATGTTACTGTTCCCAGAGAGTTCGGTCCTGCCAAGGAACAAGTGTTAACTGACAAAGTCTGCTAGTTGCAATGTTTATGATTGTCTTTGATATTCAATTAAAAAATTTCTCTCTTACTGCCATCCTAACTTCCTTATGTATAATCAGCACTTTTGTTTATTCTGGCTATCTCTCACAGTTACATTTCAAGTGAACGAGAATGCTAAGCAATTAAAAGTTCCCTTTTACTAGCTTTCCAATCGAAGGATCAAAAGGATCATTAAAAAAAAAAATGAGGCCAAGATATCTAAGAAGTTCCCCTTTCTGAGACAGCCTTCCTAGAAAGCTAAAATTAGCATAGGAATTGGTACTCCTAAAGAAAGTCTAGGATCAGCAGTCTTCTGATGGTGCTGATCTCAGTAGGTACTCTTGGTTTGTAAAAAGGGTATCAATGTTAAACCTTGCTAACAAAGTAATCTTGGTAATAAGAAAGTAAACATAAGCTTAGTATATTATTCTAAAAGTCTGAACACATTTTAAAAAATACTAAAGCAACTTAATAAGAGTGACGAAGAATAGTGGATTTTAAGTTACGTGGCCTATGCAGAAATATTCCCCCTACCACTTAGAAGCTATGTCTTCTTACGCAAGTCTCAACCAACGTATCAGTGACCTCATCTGCAAAATATTAGTATTAGGTATTAGTATTTGGCTTGCCTGTATGTCATACGGTTATTGTGATATTCAAATAAGATAAAGCTCACGTAAAAGCTTCAAACTAAAATTCTGACACAAACAACATTTATATTACTAGTATAGTTGTTTTAAGTTTGGTCCCTATGGTGGAACAGGCTTGAGTTTGAATCTTGACTTTATCACTTTGGGCAAGTTACTTATTCTCTTTAACGTTTGAGTTCCTCTTCTATAAAATGAGATTTACAACGCCTACCTCAGAGCTTCAGTGAGGATCTGAGATAACAAATCAATACTTCCTTAGCACAGTACTTGGTGCAGAGTGAGAACTCAACAAACATTAGCTGCTTTCCCGTTGCCTTTAGAAAGTTTGCTCTCACTCACTCCCTAAGGGTGTTTCAACCTCACAATTTCTGAACTCTACTCAAAGGCACTTAAGGTGCCAAACACTTTTAAGGACTGATAGCTCTACCAAGGCAAACCCAAAAACTGGTCCTGAGAATAATCATGTAAATACAAATGTACTCATAAATGTGTACTTCAGATAGCAGGTATTAAACTGTGTCTATGACCTTCCCTGTTTCAAAACATAAATCCCACTATCAGTCCATCTGAATAGTTGAGATAAAACTTCTTTGAATCTACCTTAACCACTTCCTTAAAATTCCTGTTTTAATACAGCTCAGCTCAACAGTAAAAGTGTGTGTGTGTGTGTGTGCACAAACAAGACTAGAAAAAGTTCTGATTACTAAGGCAACTTCACCTTCTTACTCACTCTATGTGCAGCAAGTAGGAGAGGTCAGCTTTGGTTGAGAATCTTTCCAATCTGAAAAGAAAGTTCTCGGAATTGAATATCCACATGTCTGTAATCCCTTCCTACTCGAGCATGTAGATAAAAGGATCAAGGGAAGACATAGGTAAGAGAGACCTGTCTCATGCAGAGAACAGTCATCCCTCTAATAAAATTAATAAAGGTAAATTTAAAAACTACCTGAATATAGCTGAAATAGAAACAACACTGCTGGGAAGGGCCTCTGTGATGCCAACCTGGCTCCCAAAAAGATTAAGGCACCCTGGAAAGAAGTGCCCCAACCATCTCTGATTATAAAACTAGTGTTAGATTAAGTAGTAAGAACCTAAACCTATATAAGTGTTCATATTTATTCCATATTCTTTGTATATTTTCTTTTAAATATAGTTATTTATTAGTGTTGGATATTTTATAGACTTGTTTTTTATCTTGAAGAATTCTCTTTTGGTCATTATAAAAAACTGATGAATAGGAAAGCATCCTAATGGCCCTCAGTTCAATATACTTCCAGCCCACAGTCATCAGATGCTAACATAACACAACAGCCTCTTGAGCACTAAATTCATAAAACCCAAATATGAAAGTATTATCATTTTCTAATTACAAGCCTATAAATTATATTCTCAATCCAGAGGACTGGATGACATTTTGTCCCAAATGTCAGCATCCTGCAACAGCACAGAGGCGGTCATCACCTTAGTCACCCTCAAGGCCCATGCAAGCACTCAGTGACATTAAAAACCGCGTTGGTTATACAGTGGCAACAAAATGAGAATGTGGCCTTCTGAATTGGATATCCCTATCCAGTCTGTTTGTTCTCACCTCATGGCTTGGCATCCTGTTAATGAGATAAGCTGGGGGGGTCCCCGTCAGACGCATAATCTGCTGAAGCTGGTTAATATCTTAGATGCCTAGTCAAGGGCATTGTTAAACATACAGTACAAAAAAATAACTTTCAACTCAAGTTCTTAAGAAGGCCAAAAAAGCCACCCCCAAACGAACAAAAAAACCTACTCCCCACCCATTCCATCCCCCCCAGGCCAGAGCCCAAGGCTGCATGTGAAAGCACGCTTCTGTGGAATGGCATGAGGGTTATTAGGCATGCAGCCAGTAACTGGCCATGCAGAGAAGGAAAATTATTTTCCTTTAGTTTTAGCATCATCTTTAAGATTAAATATTTAGGCTCCCTGGAAAGAGACTGCCCCTTGATCCAGGATGCCAGCCAGAGAACTGTTTTCAAGTACTGATGGCCAAAACCTGCTTGCTTGGGGAATAAATGGAGATGATTCAGAAAATTTTGATTCAGCTTTGGACAAAACAAAATTTTCAATATATCCATTCAAGGAAGAGGTTAAATTTTCATGGCCCAGGTTCTGGTAACTCTCCAAGGCACCACCCCTCCAAAGGTAAGACATGGGTGGGTGTGTGAGCTGATAAGCAATAACAAGTTTCAAAGACATTAGTAGTGGTACATTTATAAAACATGCCACACACACACAGTGGTGATGAAGAAAGAGGAGACATGGGGCAAAGTTAGAAGCTAATGGCAAAGACAAAATAGGCTGCTAATGGTATTAGAGCATGCCACAGTGATTTCTTCCACAAGTCTCTAACAGGTGAACAGGCTGACTTCACTTAATTAACAGCTGGGAGGAAGTCTGCAAACGCTCTGCAATGATCTGACAAGGACGAAACTAGTAGGTCTTCCATATGTACAAGCACATATGGAAACAGTATTCCAAACTTCTCTCTTCGTGCTGCCCCATCAACTTTAACACAATTCCCCCTCCTCCAAAATGTTATATGAACTGGTTTATCATGTGTTCCTATTAAAGGAGCAGTGACGGGATTTTTAAAATCAACACAATTCAATAAAAATCTTTCTATATTCCCTTTCTTCTTAAACTATTAATTCCTTCCTTCGGTTGTAGCAGCATCTTCAATGAGCACCCTGATCAGGCAATCACACTTCTCTGTGGCTTCCTTCAGTAATTTTTCACATTTACTCATCCTCTGAACTCAAATTCCCTTGTGGTCAGAGGACTACAAATATAAGTTGAAGGCTGGCCGGCAGGAGAGAGCTGGGACCATGCACTCCATCCTGCCTTTCACACCCCTTACGCCGAAAGACAGAGGCCAGCAAATTCAAAAGGTGGCATGAAGCCCTTTTACCATTCTCTCAACAAAGTTTAGATTTACTTTTAAACAAATTACATAACCAACAGTACTCTGCATGCCAAGAAATACAACAAAAGGGGCTCACTAAGTAAACCAGCAATAGCAGAATACCAGTCGGGTTTTAAAATCTTAGAATCCTGCCACCTCTCTCCTCTTTCTTGGGAACGATACTTGGCCTGTGCATTTTCTATTTTTGTCTCCTTTAGCCAAATAGGTTATTATATCCCCTTCCTGTCAGGAGGCTAGGAAGAATATATTTCTAGAGAAAAATGGGAGTCAGTGAAAGGGCTTTTGCTTTCTTAATATGATTTCTTTTGTTCTTTCACTGATTACTATAGGTACTGGGTCACTAACTAAAACAGTCCTCTCTCCTGAGCTGCCATGACCTATTTATCATCCCCTTTCTCACAGTACATCCCAACTTATTCTCAATCAGCCCATTATTGCATTTTCTTACAATGCCCTACTATTTATTGATTGAATTTCTACATAAGTGATCGAATCTGTATGTTAACTAACTAGAATTCAAATAAAATTTTGGGGAAAAGAAAAAAAATGATGGCATCACTACCTTACTACTTTTCAGGAGTAATGAAAATAGCTGTTGGCTTTCTTTTATTACATTCCCTCGCTAATGAATTTTTCTTTCAATTTTTAAAATCCTTAAACAATTTTACTCACCTGGCTTTGTTATTTACACACCATGTGTCCCACACATATCATGTGCTTTTTAAGATAAACTGGTACTTGGACAGTATTACTAACATCAAATTAATCTTGTCTACCATTTAAACCCTTATCCCCTTGCCATAACCAGGTAGGGGGAAAAAAAACCCCTCTCTTATTCCTATACTCGATACAATATTATTGGAGTACGTTCTATATTCTGGTAGTCCATTTTATTATGCCCAACTCTAGAGCTGTTTAAATGTATGATGTGCCCTATTTCACATAAGATAAAGAGATCTCATTATTAGGTTGGGCACTGATGTTGTTTCTTTCCTAAAAATAAATGATGGATTAATAGTAAGTAAATACTGTATTACCCATGCTTTTTCTTTAGAAATTCTTGTGACTAACAGCACATACCTATAGGGCAGATGGCTGGGCGGGGGAGAGGGGACTGAGAAGAAGCTGCTAGTGGCCATATCCAGACAGGGAATGAATTTACTATCTTAGTCTCATTAGTACTATTGGTAAATAAACTGAACTTCCTCCCACCCCCACTCCCTTGCCTCCATGTTTTCTGTATTACCAGTCTTCCTAAGCACATGCATTTAAAACAAGAAAGCACCATCCTCTCTAAGCAGCATTCCTTATCTTCTTTGATTCACTCTATCCAGCTTCTACATTTCATAAGGCAAAAGAAAATACTCCTTTGAGTTGACATGGTGGTCAGTACGCTGACAATGACTTTCAAAGTAGTGTGCAATCGCATGAGATTAAAGTTTAGAGATCATGTTATCAGAACATCTGAGATCTATGCTCAGCTCTGCCAAGTGACTCAGTGCATGACTCAGGCAAGTCACAGCTTTCTGTGCTTTTCCTTCTCATCTTAAATGAATAAATGAAACAAAATAATAGAGCCAGCACAGTTTCTTACATCCCTCAGAGGGGAAATTCATAAATACACTGGGCTTTGTGGTCTTTTAATGGAAATGTACCAGAAACATACCAGATGACAATATTCTTTATTTTATAAGGGAGATGATGAACCATTCAAACTCACCTGCTCAAGCCTGCCTCAAGCCACCCAGCAGTCCTTCCAACTGGGCAAAGGGACCCCTTCAGTCAGAATGCTGGGAGGAGAATTCAGGAAGGCACAACTGGAGCTTGGCTCCACAGCTCTTTTTCCCTTTTAGTCAACTGCCTGGCAGCAGACAGAGGGGAAAAGGGAGAAAGGCTGAGCTTTCATGATTTCTCTCTTGTCTCTGGCCCCAGAAAATGACCAACAGCAGGAAACTGGAGCCAAAGTAAGCCAGAGTCACATTCCCATGGCTTCTCTCTAGATCCCTGCTTAGAGGCAGGAAAGCATTAGCTCCAAAGCTTTTTCTCAGGTTATTCAACTTGTAATTACAAAGGCAGGCTGTGGGAGGAAGGATTTACAAGTCTACTCCAGTGGATGTGAGGTATCAGGACTGGTCTGGAGACAGGGTGGAGAGGTGCCCCTGTTGGGAACAGACAACTTATACAAGATGTGTGAGCTGTCTATTCTAAAACAGTAAAAAGCAGTAACTTCTGGAAAAGGGCAGTAGTGTGGACACAATGCACACTTCATTCTTGTAGTGAAGCTAGACTAATACGTGGTAAAGCTCATGCTCTGAGAACACACAACCGAAAAGTAAAAAGAACTCAAGTATATGTGAAACTTCTGAGAAAGATGATGTAAGGGCTTGATAACAGAGACACATGTTCCTTTAATCTCTTGGAATGAATTAGAATCTCAAATCATTTACTGGGATACTACTGCCCAATACAAGCTCTCATGATCTAAGTACATACTCCAGTAGAGAGCAAAACACACTCATGCATGGGGGCAGATGAGTGCATGTACACACACACACACACACACACACACACACACACACACACCCCTCATCCTGAAAGTCAGCACAAAAGGGCACACATGCTTACAAACATACCCAGGGCAAAGTACAGATTGATGGAAGGCAAGTGGCAGAGGCTCCCAAGAGGGCAGATAATTACAATCAAAGCATCAACTCACAGACTCTGAGGAGATTTTCTTCAAAAGATCAGCCCCTGGGGTTCCAACGAGTCTTAAAATGAGCTTCAACTGATCAATATCTAATGGTGGACTATAAAGGAAAATGTTGGGACAAAATAAAAATAAAAAACAAACAACAAACAAAACAAAACAAATACCCCAATAACAAAAATTAAAAACCCCAAACCAGGCCAAAATGGTGAATTCATCTAGATCAAGGCTTCTGCAGGATGGTCACTCCAAGTAGAACATGCTCCACCTGTACAAAGACTCAGAATGCTGCCACACACATATCCGATTTATATTCATTTTGTGTATCTGTCAACATCACTTATCAGTAAAGCGAAGTGACTTTAACTGGGTACTTAGCTGCCAAAGACAGCAGGTGAAAACACAAAAGCTTCACTCAGTCCACACTGACCTCCTCACCTTCCACCAAAGCATCAGTAGTCAGTTAAGCAAAGAGCACTGGCAAGCAGAGTGCTACAGACAAGAAAAAAGCAGCAGAGCATAGGAGCGAGGGCTAGCCAAGGCCACCTGTGAATATTCCCCGAAGGCTAACTAAGGAGCTTGTAATAGGACAGGAGGCTTCGACTATCCCAGAGCCTAACCACTTGAGCGAGCCCTCTAGAAATCCTCTCCCTCTGCGCAGCTGCAGCAGGCAGAGATGAGCGGTGAGTGACAGTCGGCCAGCAGAGGGCCCCACTCCCCCACTGCAATGGCATGTTCTTCCAGCGCGCCATAACGAAGCAGAACACCACCTCACAAGTGCAGTGACAAACCTCACACATCCCAGAGGCTCTCAACAATAGGCTACAATGTCCAAACCATTATTCTGGTAGCCAGCTCTTCCATGCACACTCAGAATGTATGTGCATGTATTAACCAGAAGCCAAAACCTTTTCATTTGTTCTTACTGCCATTAGCCTTGCCTAAAAAGGAAGTTAAAAGAGGAGAGAAAAAAAATCACATAAAATAGCTCTTAATATTCTCTATGAAAATGTTAGTAGTTTATCTCCATGTCTATACTGACATTCAGGGAAAAAGGAGGGGAGGAGGACTGTCTTCTGATGCCCGTCACAAATCCTGTCAGGTTTTTCGCCTATTAGGTCCTTCTCAACTTCAGGTCTCAGCTTAAACTTCACTTCCTCAGACAGGCCTCCCCCCACACTCTAAATAAGGAAGCCCCCTCTTCCCTGTATTCTCTACCTCCACACAATGCTTGCAAACATCAAAGTGCTTATCACAATCTAGAGTTACTTTGTTTGCTTTCTGTCACCTCTACGGATCTGTAGCTCCATGAGGGCAGAGGCCACCCTGACTGTGTGTGCCCCCTCTCCCCAGCGCTTAGCCGGCCATCTGCTACATGGTGGGCACTCAAAACACTTGAGGAGAAGGTGGAGCAGGATGGAAAGGGGGATGAAAGAAAGGATTTCTGCTTATGATTACACATATAAAGGTAATATGGTGTAAATTAAAAATAATAGCCTCTGCAAACCATAGTTGCCTAAGTTACAGGAATTACTTATGCAATATCACTGGCATCTTGCCCTGTTCTTTTTTTTCCCCCAGATATGAAATTGACTTAAATGGAAGAAAATTCTAGACGGGAGTCAGCAAACCCCAGCCTGCTGCCTGTTTTGAAAATAAAGTTTTATGGGAACACAGCCATGCCCATTCGTTCATGTGCTGCTTTCACCCCACACAGCAGAATTGAGTAGTTACAATAGAAACCATAGGGTTTTTAAGAAAAAGTTTGCCAAACCCCATCCTAGACCCGAACAACTTGTGTTCTATAGAAACCATGAGAGACTACGGACTCTGAGAAACAAACTGAGAGTTCTAGAGGGGAGGGGGGTGGGAGGATGGGTTAGCCTGGTGATGGAT